GTTTGCAGAACTGAATTAGGAAAGTTGCAAAGGAATGATATCATATTCAGTAAGCTGTTCAGTTACATCACAGCCCTGAATAAAAAGAGAATGTGTACCAAAAGCAGTTAGCTTCAGAATGCATCTTTTGTGCCTCAGAGAAATAAAATCTCTCATATTATTCAAACACCAAGATAAAAACTGAATCATTATAACAATATCATACAATATTTCTTTTTCTAGCAGTAATAAAAGATATTTCACTCATATGATAACTACATTTACATCTATATTAGCAGATACAACTGGCTTTGTTAACTCAATGGGGTAATAATAGTAATAATAAAATAATAAAAGCAGAGAATTTATTAAGCACTTAATATATGCCGGTCACTGTTCTAAGCACTTTCCATGTATGAATTCATTTTCACAATGGAGCTTCCAGGTAGGTGCTACCATTCCTTCCATTAGTTTCCAAATGCTTACACATTTTAATAACTAAGACCAAATCATTCTTGCTCGACAACTATATAAACAATTCACCAACATCGAAATACTTCTCCATCCCTCTCAGCAATATAAGACATGAGAACAGACTGTCCATGCAGTCATACAAGTTCAATAAATGCATCGCTACTAATACGTTCGTTTTTAATGCTGTTCAAACATTCACATGGAAACAGCTCTAGCGTAAATATCCCCGAACAAATGGCTGTATATTATCCAGGAGGGAGCAGTTGGACCGCCAGACTGGGAAAGTACTAGGCCATCTGGCTCCAGCAATCTCTCCAAAACCATCAGCTTTGTTTTCACCCCCAGACTCCAAACAACACATTTTCCACTGTGATGAGTTTACATTTTCCCAAACACAGGTCCTGATCATGCATAAAAATTCCAAACTTCTTCATTCCTCTATGTGAAAGGAAATTTAAATCACCTGCATTTTTGACATGTTACCAAAAGAGAAAGCTGCTGAAATATGGCTCCTAACTATAAACTTGCCCTGTCCTTTTCTGTTTGTTTGTTTCCTCAAATAAATGAAAGAATCTCTCTGCTGGCCTTGTTGAATTCCTTGGGAAATTATTGATACACTAAAAATGTGTTTATCTACCAATGAAGAACCACAAACAGAAAGAGCTGTTAATCAATTCTACGTGGCTGTGGCAGGATATAATGAAACAATCAATAGGAAAAAATGCACTTGCATCAATAACTTAAAGTACCGGGAACATCAAAATAAATATGTAAAGATTAGCTGGAAAGAGAACTATGACAGCAGTTCTGATTATTGTATCTTAGACTCCTCACTGCTCTGGGGCTTTTAAGGGGTCCCCTCACCATACTGCCTACCTTCAAATCCATACACACCAGGATTATGTGACTATTAGTATTCCCTTTCCAAAAAAAGAGCTTTGGTTTGGGGGCAGGGAGTGTTTGTTTTTGATAACTTTATGGAATTTAGTACTCTTTCTTTGAACTATAAAAATGTCGCTTTTTTCAAAGCAAGATGATAGGAGGGAAGAAAAATTAAAGGTTTTTAAAAAAAATAATTTAACAATAACTCACTAAAGCAACCACAGAACATAATAATATTTCAAATACTACAGGAAAATCTGAACAGAGGCATATCAAACCTCAGACCTCTCTCACTGAGTTCATTTGAGTTTCCACAGTAGATACTGCTGTTAGATGCAACAGCCATAAACTTCTGGATCCTACAGGCCTTTCTGCATGCTCTCTAATGGAATACCAAAAACAGCAATGACACAAAAACAACCTATTTTTAGTCCAGCTAAACTTGGTTTTGAAAAACTCTTCCCAAAAGCAAGCTTATTTTCTAGTTGTGGACAAGTATTTTAAATATCATTATATCCTTTTTTTCTATAAAAAAATGTACAGGGATGAGAGGCTCAGATCCTTACACGTTCACTTCTAATAAAGCTTCCCCTTTCCTGGTAGAGTCCAAAATTAAAAGTCATTACCCAAAATAGTGTAATGAGACACTTTGAAAAGGTGTGAAATACTATGTCATACCAATACATCTTGGTTGATTGAGTACATTTCTGTTTGATCTCAGTGCTACTAACTCCACCCAAGATCAGGAACACTCTACTAAAATATCAAGTGCACAGCTAGTTTTGAATTTTGCTTGCCAAAGATTCCCTTTGAGTTTTAACCCCAACTTGTGAGTCAAAGATATGACATTACATACATAAAGCTGCATCTGATATGAAAAATGTTATGATAAATTAGCAGCTAAGACACTTGAACTATACCGAGATATTCCCTCTGAAATTTATGATGTTATTAGAACTCATCACATCACTGAAATTATTCCATTCTGCAACAAGATTCTAAATATCAAAATTGTGAGTCTATCTGTAAGAATTTCACAGGGGAAAAAAAGTAAGTATTTAATCAGTCACCTATATCAAGCTTCTGATTGAAGGGGTCATTGCATACTTAACTAAAATCAAAAACTTAAGAAATTTAAAAGTCAGACTTGGCATTTTAATGATCATAGAATAATTTCAAAGCTAGATGAGAATCCACAGTTTTACTTATCAAAGCTAGAACAAAATAATTACATCACAGCTAAGGAGAGTCAGGCTCTTCATGCTGATCTGCTTTTTGAAGACTATTGTATTAGCTGTGTACACAAGAAGCTAACCTACTTCCCAAATTCTCACAGCACATAATCAAGGAACAAGCAACCGGATAACGGGCAGAGATTGCCTTTCAAAGTAAAAGCTACAGAGAAGGAATTAGACAACTATTATAAAAGCAAACAGGTATGCCTGGAAAAACCTTTTTTCTTGATATTTTTAGACTAAATTCAGATAATTACTAAATTTGTTTTTCAGGTCACTCCCCACCAAAATACGTAATTGCCTACATTTACAATTTTAACTTTCAGTGAGATGTCATAGTATGGCAAATGACTTTCTTATATCTGCTCCTACTACACTTTATTTTATTCTGGTCCCACCTCCACCCTCACAACTGATAGAATTTATGAAACCAGGCAGTCAAAGAATGTCTTACACTGTAATTTTTCTTAAGCTCTATGACCCTGTTAGTAAAATGATATTAGATGTACTGCTTTATAAAAATCAAGATTATTTTTCCACCATAGAACAGTGTGTAAAGTCAGCTCATTTCATAATAGGAAAATCAATTCTTGCGGCACTTTTTCTTTTTTTTTTCTTTTACAGGGCCTAAAATAAAATGTTGAGAAAAGGTATCACTTCAAGCATGTCCTAATTTTATGTTCCTTACAACTATTCACTTCATAGAGTTGCCTATAATTTAATATTTAAGTGGCCAATATTTCACAAGCAGACAGGTCTCATATACTGGTTTGTGGGGATGTTTTTATCTTTTAAAAATTAAACTCTAATAAGTACATAGTTCGGAATATGTATTAGCATTCATACTTTCCCTCTTCCTCTCCCATCTTTCCTATGATGGAAATGGAAGAAAAAAAGATATCCAAGGTATCAAACACAATTTTTTACACAAAACTCCACTGAAGACATTCTTGATTTGATATCATCTTTTTAAGTTCCTGAAATCAAGTTTTTGTGGCTTTTTATTTGGCAGGAAAAACATTTTTAAAAAAATACAGTGTGTCCAAATGAAAGGGAATTAGCCTATATAATGATCAAAGCCAGTATAATAATATAAAACAATGATATTAATAAAAGTATAAATGTGCATTTACTCTGAACGATCAACTAAGAAAACAGATCTTCAAGAAAGTCAAATATTCAGGCTAATAATTTGAAACAGATTTCAAGAGATATGTATTCTTCATTTTAAAAAATACATTTCATCCTCTCATGTTTTTTACTTGACTCACAATGAAATATGAAGGTAATAATTACAATTAGCTGTTATTTAATTGGTCCTTGCTGAGTAGATTTTAAAACTTCCAACAGCTGGGTGCATTTTATACAACATATTTAAGCCATGGGTATCTAAAAGCAATGTTTAAATATGCATGTATACCCTAAATTGAAACTTTCCAATTCAGTATCTATGAAAACTATGTCCCCCTTTTTAAAGGGAATATTTTAAAATCACAATCAAGCAAATGAGCTTCAACCCTCTCACTAAATTGGTGGTTAGTACACAATGGGTAACTTTCTCTTTGTTCTGATTTCTTTCCCGCACCCAATAAAACTGTCTTCTTTTTTGTTACTAAATCCTCCAGCTACCTAACCAGATATTTAATTGCTAAACTTTTTCTTAAAATTAAAAAAAAAAAGTTTCTGCCCCTCGTAAAAACGTCAGACCTCTTTTCTGACTCGGCTTATAATTGTATCTTTTAAACCATAATTCAACCTTAATATATACTGCTTGGCACCCGCGTGTTGGGTAGCTTAAGAAAACGCCGTCTATGTACCTTTAAGACCACAAGCTCACTCATGCTGCCTGGCTTCTTGCCAAACTTGGAGGCAAGAGCAGGAGGATTTTTGCAAAATACCCTCTAACAATTGTCGCTCCCTCTTTCAATGCTACCACCATCGCCATCTCTCTTTTTTTAATGCGTAGAATAGCTCATCTACGCTCTCGGTCCACCTCCCCATTCCTGGAGAGGCTGCCTTTGCCCCTCACCCGTTCCCTCTGCCCTCCACCTCCCAGGGGAGGTCCTGATTGGTTTGAGTTTCACAAGTTCAGCCCGATCTGCACCAGGGTCCCTAGGCACCTTCTGCGCCCCCTGGGGCTCTCTGGCCGGGTCAAAGGAAGTTCAGCCCGTATTCTCCCCCACTCAGCACCCCCAGAGTCTTAATTCACAAGGTCTGAATTTCCCTTGTAAAGAAGGAGCCGTCGAGCTACCTTCCCCACGCGGCGAGCCAACGTGCTCATGGGCATTTGGGAGGCTGCGCTGAGAGCGGTCTGCCCAGGCATTGAGAGTTCGACTCCCAGCCCTCCCGCTAAGCAGTCGCCAGCTTCTTTACTCTCCCAAATTTCGCGGCCGTGGAGTCACCCCCGCGGCGCGAAATTAAGAAACTTACTTGTTTTGTCATGGAGTCAATGAGGCGAACGTAGAAATCCTGCTCGGTCCTTATTCCTGGGGGAGGGGGCGGGGGATGGGGGAACGAAAGACAATTGAGTGAGAGAGGATCTGAACAAAACAAACAATGGAGCCCCAAGACTGACGGAACTCCGACCGTCCCAGAGAAGCACAGCCGGGACCCCCTCTCCCCAGGGCGCAGATAAGGGCCACTGGCCTAGCCCGAGCGCTTTTGGAAGGCAGCCGCCTAGCGCTGGCTGACGGGAATAAAATGGACCCCCAACCCGGGTACTCTCCCTTCCGAAGGCTGGAGCCCCTCTGCGCGCTCGCCTGCAGCCACCAAGGCCCTGACCGCTCGAGCCCCCTGAACTCCAGGGACCTTGAGGATGAAGTCTACGCTAAGCGGAGAAGCCCGGCCTTAGAAAGCGGGGGAAGTAAAACAAAGCCGCCCAGCGCGGGTTAAGGCACCACACCTGGGCCCAGGTACGCTGATGCGGCCGCCCTCGGGCCACTCAGAGCCCTCCTCAGGTGAGACCTCTTCAAGCAAAACCGGGCCACTTTACCCCAGAATGCCTAACAGCTGTGCTTTGCTCAGGGTTCTCGCCCAGCTGGAGCTCCCCCACGCCCCCTACCCGCACCCGCAGCCCCGGGTACCGGCGTGGACCTGACAGGAGCCTCACCGTTGCTGTAGAGGAGCTGGAGCCGGTAGTGAATCCCGTTATTGGTCTTTTCGCTGTTGGCTTCCTGGGTTGCAGCAGAACGCAAAGACATAAGAGATGCAGGAGAGGTCGGCGTGAGCTAGTGGACCGACTTCGAGGCATCTTTCCCCAAGCAGGGACCGCCGGCCGGGAAGCCGGACAGGCCCGGGAGCAGAAGAAATTGCGGCCAACTATGATCCCTCCGCCGCCCTCCCGACCCTTACTGCTCCCTCTAACTTTCCAGAAAATTTCGTGGGGCGCGCACAGGCGATGCCGTGGCTAGGGCCTGCGGACAAGCAGAGGCAGGAGCTGCGCGTCGTCGCGCGGTCGAGGGCGGGTTCACCCCGGAGCCCTTGACCCTGGAGTGCGAAGCCGGGCTCGCCTCTCTCCAGCTCCGGGGAGTCGGTGCGAACTTTTCTGGAGCAGAACCTCCTCAACCGGGAGCCCAGGTTCGCCCAGAACGGGAAGTGGCTTGGGGACCCCGCGCAGGGATGTGTTACGGATGCTTTGCACTCGCGGAGGAGCGCACCTCCCAAAGCGCCTGGGCCTGCTTCCCGGCCAGGGGGCGAGGGGCAGCGGCGCTGCGCCCACTTACTTTTTCCTTCTCCACGAACCCCACAAAGGCTGTCCTCTCGATCTCCACGGGCTGGCCCTGTCTGTCGTAGAGGGCCAGGACGAAGTGGAAGAAGTTGGATTTCCGCAGATTGGAAGGCGGCTGCTTCTCAAAGTGAGCCCGGGCCAGACCCACCCCGCTGCGGCCAAAGACGCAGAGTTAGACGGCTAAGCGGAACAACAACCCTCGACCCCTTGTCACCCCTTACACACGCGCTAACTCTCAAACCACCACCTTGTCTGCCCCTAAAACGCCCAGTGGGCTTCCTACACGCCCCCTCAGGCACCTCGGGCCCACCAGGCGATGGGACCAGAGTGCCCGCGACTGTCCCGTCCTCCCCTCCGAGAACCGGCGCGCCCCCCGAATTTGACGGAGAGGTGGGAAAGTTTTGTTTGGGTTTTGCGCACGAGATAAAACGCTGTAGGCATTTATTCCGACTTGACTCCGCTGCATAGGCAGGATAAAGTAACGGTGGCTGGGGTGAACCCGGATCGCGGCATGAAGACGGTCGTTGACAACTTAGAGGGTGGGCTGGGGAGTTGGTTCCCGCCACCCCCTCGAGTCTCCCGTGGGCAGGTGAGAATGGAGGGGGGAACATTCTCAGCTCCTCGCTGCAGCAGCCATCCTCCGGGAAACCTTCTGTGCCCCCGGGACAGCCGCGGATGCCCGGCATAGGGAAGCTGCATGCCCCCCCCCCCCCACCAAGGAAAGCATGTGGAGGAAAAGGACCTGCAGGTGGGACTCAGGGCTGTCAGGGGTGGTCGCTGTGGGAAAGGGAATTGATTTTTTTTTTTTTTTAAGACCTGTCCTGACAAAGTTTTACTGTTTCGCAGAAATCCTCACACGCTTTCCAGAAATCCTATGAAGAAGGGCTGACGGCTGAGCGCGCCCTCCCGGGGGTTGGAGCCTGGGCACCAGGGGCTCGGTGAGGCCACTGACAGCTCGACCTGCCCGGACACAAGGGCTCGCGCGCGCACACACACACGCACGCGCCACACACAGGCGTACACACACAGGCGTACACACACTTTCGCTTCTAGCCCGGTTACCCAACTCACTCTCACTACCAACCACCGCCATCCTTATTATCACTGGGGACGGGAACAGTGTTGTGGACACTTGTCCCCAGCCCGGAGAAGATGAGGATGATGTAATTAGTCATGTTCCTTCTTCCCCTTCCGCTCTCTCTGGGCGGGATAGAGTCTCGGGCCACCATATCTCCCACTCTCCCAAGCCCAGATAGTGGCCTGAAAAAAAGGGGAGACTATTTCTCAGTTGGGACCAGGAGTCCCCAGAAAGGGTACAGAGGGTGCCCGGGAAAGTTCCCCCAAGTCAGTCTCCTAAGCAGTGCCTCCAGGCCATACAACATAGCATCCTAGGAGCTGAGAGTGGCAGAGGGGCTTAGAACGGGCCATAGTTACAGACTGTAGGGAAGACTTTCAGAAGATGTCAGAATTAAAGTTAGGAGTTGGTCTTCCGGGTGGACCAAGAAAAATTGAAAGCTACAGAGAGGAAAGGAGAATCAGAGAGGAGAAATAAGATGATTCCAGGGGGAAATGTAAAGAGAAAGGGAGTGAAGAGAAAGGAAAAATAGGAAAGAGGGAGAAAGTGAAGAAGCAGGAAACAAGGAAAAGAAGGAAGGAGAAGAAAGGGAGGAAGAAAGGAAGTGAAGAAAGGAAAGGAGGAAGAAAGAAGAAAGGGAGGAAGAGAGGGAGGCAGGAAAGGAAGGAGAAGGAAAGAAAGTTTTCAAGTGGGAGAAAAGAGTAAAAAGAAAAAGGAGGAAGGAAAGGAAGAACGAAGAGAAAGGAAAGAAGAAGGAAAGAAATGAAAACAGGCAAATAAAAGACAGAAAAGCAGGGAAAAAATGAAAGAAAGAAAAGACAGCCGGCCAGAAAAGAAACAGCAATCACAGAAAAACACAGATATCCAACATCACGCTGGTGAGAGCCTCTTCTGGCTTAAAACAAAATGAAAACAGTCACAGACCAGGCAGGGGAAAGTGCCGGTAAATCGTGGGCTCCTCGCCGGCAGCTCCTGGCTCTCCGGCCGCAGGCAACCAAGACCTGGCGGCCGGGGAGCGCGGAGCCCCGGAGGCGAGCAGAGCCCAGCCGCAGAGGCAAGAGCGCGGCTCGACCCCGCGGCGGCTGCTGCCGCTACCGCCGCCCGGCTCTGCTGCTCGCGGCGTGCCTCCCCGGCCGCGGTCCCCCAGCGGTACCCACCTCTGCGCCGCCGTGTTGGCGTCCAGCACCCCGGCGCCCTGCATCCACGTCCGCACCGCGTTCATGCCGCTGCCCAGCGGCTCTTCCTTCATGCTGCTTCCACTCCGTTGGATGCTTTCCTGAATCCCAAACATGAAAACAACCTTTTCTTGTGGAAAATCTCCTCCCCCTTGAAAATTTGAAAAAAAAAAAAAAAAAAGGCAAAGAAAACGCCAGCCAGAGATTTTTTTTTTTTTTTTTTGAGTCGATGAACTCGAGCTAGATCAAGGCGGGCTGGAAAGCAAATTTTTAAAAAATGTAAACCTTCGCTCAAAATTGAGCGATAACCCGGAAAAAAAGAGAAAGAGAGAGAGAAAAGGAAGGGAAAATCCAACAAAAAGACCAAAATAAAAAAAAATAGAGATGTGTGCTTGGCTGTTGGGGGTTGTTTGGTTGGTTAATTTTTGGTTTGGGTGCTTTTTTTTTTCTTTTTTTTTTCTTTCTTTCTTTTTTTTTTTTTTGTAATGATCACAGGCCGGTGAAGGACAGGAGGGGCTGGAGTTTCCTTTTGTAGAGGTACCGTTCACTTGAAGAAGCAGGAAGAAAAAAAAAAAAAAAACCCTGATGGCAATTTAAGAAACAATAGACTCAACTCGCGCTGCCGGCTTTGCTACTTCAAGTGTCATTTTCCACAACCAGGCAAGTTTTTCCTCTCTCTTTTTTTTTTTTCCTCCTTCTCTCCCAACCAAAGATGTTTCTTTCCTTTCAGCGTGTATAGATGAGGAGGACGCTGGTTGCCGTAGACAGATACACCAGAGAGGAAGAGTAGGGTGGGGGGAAGGGGGAGGGGGAGGGAAAGACAGAAAGAGGAAAGGAGAGGAGAGGGAGAGAGAGAGAGAGGTGGACCCTGCTAGATAGAGATTCTGTTTTCTCCTTGCTAAAATAGAAGTGATTTGCAGGCTTTCCCTATGGAATCCAGTTTGACTCTCCCCAGAGCTAAACACAAGCACACTAACCCCAAAGGGAGGAGGCGGGGCCCGCGCCACACGGGCCCGCCCCCTCATTTGCATAACGTCATCCTTCCGCCTCGCCGTAGCCAATCGCGGCGCCGGAGCCTCCGGGCTCTCCGCGCAGGGCCACGCTCCCTCATTAACATCCCTCACCGGGTGGCGCAGGGTAGCCGGCCAAAGTTCTTTGCAAAGTGGCGAGCGAAGGATCGCTGAGTACCCGCGTCCGAGCTGGAGAGGAGCGGGGCTGAGCTGGGAAGTGCCGGGCAGAAGGGAAACAGAAGGAAGGGGAGGAGGATATTCTTCTCAGGGATTTGAGCTGGGGTCTGCATCCTGGCCATTGCAGTCCGCTTAGCATCCTCGCCGCGCTCTGAGCGCGTTCGAGGCGCACAGGCTGCGCCCTCCCAGGGTCGTGTCCTGCTCCGCTGTTCTGGGACGTCGGGGGCAAAAGTGAAGGAGACGGGAGAGCTCGGGCAGAGAAAGCAGGACGCGCATCCCAGGTGCCCACCTCTTCGCTTTGAGGAGGGGGTGGTGGGTTGGAAAAATGGGTGCGCGAGGTCGGCGCTGGGAGCTCGCGGAGGGCACTGCCTCCACGTTGGGAGGGTGGGGTGAGAGGGGTGGACCCTGGGCCGGGGCAAGGGAATCGCTGTGGATCCCCAGGGAGAGGTGGACCGGGCTCTGCCCCTACACTTCTCGCTGGACCGCTTGCCTGGAGACGGCCGGCGTTAGGCACTGGCCTCACAGGCTCACTTCTTTGGAGTATTCTGCGGGATAGGTAAACGGTGGAACGAATGCTCTCACTGTAGATGTGCCACGCTGCGTTTTAAATTTTGCTGGCATTCAATCCCCACCCTCTCATATCCGCCCCCCAAATAGATTTTTTCCTAAGTGTAAGTACCGAAGCAAAAACAACGTCTCTGATGAGTTACTTGGGGTAGGGTTTCTCTCTTCCTTGTTCTTTCTGTTAAAATTGGGGGCTTGAACAAACCCTCCCCCAACTTCTCGCTCTGCGACCTGTCCAGAAAGAAAGATCTGGGGAAGGAGGGAATGAAGGGAGGGAAAGAGGGAAGAAGGAAAGGAAGAAGAAATGCTCCCCTACCTCAGATCTTTCAACATATATGGTTGTGGCTGGCAAAGGAAATAGCTAGATGTTTCTGGGTAATGTGCCCCATCATTTTTTAGCAGGTTGTAACCTCTAATAAGCACATGGTGAACTTCTGTTTCATTGCTCTCAAAGGAACTCCCTGACTGCAGCCAAATCTGCTAAAGGCTCCTTCGGGGAAATTCTCTGCCAGAAATCCAGGTCCTCTTTCTGCTTGCCTTTCTTGGCCCTTTGATTTAGGAAGCTCATCGGGTCAGTGATGGAAAAGTACACATGCCCATGTTGAATGGAACGGACACAGGCAGAAGTTATGCTTTGTGCTCTTGACAGAGCATAAAAGCAAGAGCCACTTCCAAACTAGTTGAAAGACTATTTCAGGCCTGAGGATACATGGCCACTGTCTTCAACACTGCTTTATCTCTTGTGCACAAAGCCTGCCCAGTCTCATACCACTTAATTTGGACCATTTAATGTGCTGAGCTTTCTCCCTGGTACCATAACTAATGCCACTTCCTCTAAGATGCTCTTGAAGAGATCCATTTGACCCAGCAGGATCCCCACACCTTCTACCAGAGTTCCTGTCATACAGTAGATGTTCATGAGGGGTATGTTATTGGAAACACTGGAAGGATTATAGATCTGTGAAGAGGCAAAATGGAAGGCTGGACATCCATGTCTACAGTATTTAACTGCACAACTTAAACTTGGACTGCTAAAAACTTCTCAAAACTCCAAGTTTAGGCCCAAAGGGTGTCCAGAGCCAACCCCCTCCCCGTTCCTGGACTTCTCTGCCCCCTCTGCCTTCTTTCCTCCCCTGATTCTCTGAAGGGATCCTTCAAAGAAGGGGGACCAGGATGCAGAGGCCACCCTCCTATCCAAGAGTCCCAGATAGCACTGGCAAAAGACAGAGACCTCCCCCTCTTTAACTTCCTGAATCTCTATTTTACACTCCAATAAACAGTATTCAGGACTCCAAGTGGAGTCTGGCGAGGTACAAACCCCAGTAATGAGGAACACACAACAAGGGATCAGATCACTGCCAAAGGTGACAGAGAAAGGAGAGACACAGCCACTCTGAGGACGAGGATCAGTGAGAGTAACACAACAGATGGATTTCTAGGAGGGGTCAAGCAAATCTAGACACACTCTGCAAATGATGTGTTTGTGAAGGGGCCTGAAGCTATCTCATCCAAAAGAGAAACTGGCCCAGAGAAATTCAGGCAGCCCAGTTCCTGCCTGAGAGCCAAGAATCTCCAGGATCTACATAAGAGTAAGACAACCTCCACATCTACCAGGCCTTGCGAGGAAAAGAATACTAATAAAAGGAGACAGGAAAGTTTATATGACCAAGTCCATTTGTACAGAGGTAGCAAAGATTTCACCTGGGATGGTGAGTGTGTTTTACTTGAATCAAGCAGAGTGTATCTGGAGCTTTCCTTCTGAGTGTGCTTGTGCTTTCTCACTAATAAATGTTTAAGTAGGAAGGAACTAAAGAGAAGGTGGAAAAGAGACAAAGAGGGTGATAGAAAACTGGGAGTGACACCCAGGCCAGCAGACTGGTAGCTTTTTGTAGATTTCCTCTTGTGAATACTGCACTAGCCACTGGCAAGTTTAAACTTTGAAAAATGTCTTAAACGCTTTTTAGTCTTCCCTCACATAAGGTTTGCACCACCTCCAAAAAGCAAAACGTGTGTGTATAGGGGTAACTATATGTACTGAGGCCATCTTCATCCTTTTTACATTGTAGTCACATCTCCAGTGGAGAGAAGAAACAAATTTGTGTGTATAGCATTGCCAGGCTTTATAGTATATTTGTTGTATGACGTTAGGGTAATTTAAAAGGCCAATCCCCAAACCCAGCTTATCAGCTTAATCAAAAGGGGGAAAGAGAAATTTTTTTAGAAATGCAGTTTTCCAGGCCATGACCAGACCAACAGAATTAGGGACAAAGAAAGTGAGAAGTGAAGAAAATGTACATGAGGAAGATATACAGCAGACTGACTTTTAATGTGGAAGGAGCAGTTGGCAAGGTTTGATATTTTCTCTGATGAGTCCCTCAGTTTCTTCCAAGGGATGGTTGGGTGACAGAGGTCTACATCCTCCCTCTCAGTTGCTCCAAACAGTAAACAAGGCTGCTCAGTACCCAGGCTCTCCCTGGGCTGGGGGCAACTCAGACCCAGTGAGCAAGCTCCCCTCCCCACCCCAAACTTTGATACTTTCTTGCTCTTGGCTTCCCCAGACACTTCCAGCACAGAGAGATCAATTCCATTTCCAAAAGAGCATCAGTGTTGCAGTAACTTCTGGGGAGAGAAAATAGAAACACACCCGCTCCCCCAAAGGGCACAGATAAAATAAACACAGCTAAACTAGGACTTGGGGGACATCACTGGGAAAGAGGGAAATTTCTCTGCTCGTTCGCCCCCAGGAGGCCAGACTTGGGACCTGTTATTTGAAAATTCCCTCATTTCAGTCCCTTATGAAGGTGCACACCCGGATGCCTGCCTGTCAGGGTAATGCCCCCTGCCTTTTGCTGCTAGCCTGATCCCACTCAGAGTGAACAGGGACGGTGGTGGGGGAGAGATGCCTCTTTAAATGCGGGGAGAGATGGGGCAATGAAGGTCAAAGGTACCAAGTACTGCGGCATGCAGCCGGCCCCAAAGGCGGTCTACCCTCAGCCAGGAGTCTTTGGCAGGGGCGTGCAGAGGCCAAGGCTCCGCTGAAAGAGGAGAGGGTTGGGAGTAAGTAGGAGTCCGGGACCCTGGGAAAGTGAGGACCTGAGCGGCGCGCGACTCCACTGCGGCCCCAGAGCCGCACCCAGAAGCCTGCAGGGTGTTGTCTTTGGCAAAAGCCTGACTCTGCCCTCCTAAAGACCTCTACCTGCTGCCCTTGGGGAATGCACTGGCGTAGGAGGCAGTGGTTTCGTGGAAATCCGTCTGTCCTTCGTCCTTGCTCTCAGTGCTCTGGCAAGCGGAAAAGAGAAGGGACCATTTCCGTGGACCGTGAACACTGCTTCCTACCCCTAGGGCTGCAGAGAAAGCCCGGTTTG